TATCTATCATCTATCTATCTGTCTGGCTATCTGTCTTATTTCTTTTCCTTACACAAAAGTAGCATACACCTTGCTTTTTTCACTTTTTTTTTTTTTCCGTGAGACATTGTCTCACTCTGTCACCCAGGCTGGAGTGCAGTGGCGTGATCTCAGCTCACTGCAACCTCCGCCTCCTGGGTTCAAGCGTTCCTTGTGCCTCAGCCTCCCGAGTAGCTGGGATTACAGGTGCGTGCCACTATGCCTGGCTCATTTTTTTTGTATTTTTAGTAGAGACAGGGTACCATGTTGGCCAGGCTAGTCTCGAACTCCTGACCTCAGGTGATCCACCCACCTCAGCCTCCCAAAGCGCTGGGATTACAGGCCTAAGCCACCACACCCAGCCTTTTTCCAGTTAATACATCCTGCTGCTCACACCATACTCCCTGTAGAGATCACTCTTGTTCTTTCTTTCCTGTAGTCTCTAGAGTGGATGTACACTCCACTTGTTTCTAATCAGGATTCCCAGAAGTGGGTCCTGTCAAAGGTAACTGCTTCAGTAATTTGGGTAGTTCCCATCAGTTCCCCTTCCTTGGGGTTTATGCTGTTCTGTTCTCCCACCAGCTGTGTATGGGGGTGCCTGTTTCTCATGGCCTCACCATCAGTGTGGGTTTCCCCAGGTGGAAGGGCGATTGGTATTTTTCCGTGACCTCTCAGTTCATGCCCTTTGCCCATTTTCCAAATTGGGTTGTTGGTCTTCTTTCTTTAGAATTTCTAGAACATTTCAGAATTTTCTTTAGAATTTCTTTTATAGGTTATGGAAATTAATCTTTGTGATGTGTTACAATCCTGTTGTTTTTCCAGTTTGTCTTTTTCCTTTGATCTTTGCATAACAAAAAAAAATCCTAAGCAAATTATTTTTATATATTTGAATTCGTGAGTTTTTTCTTTTTAACGGTTCTGGATTTTAAATTATTTTTAGAATGGCTTTCCCCGTTTTATTTTATTTTGAGACAGGGTCTCACTCTGTCACCCAGCCTGGAGGACAATGGTGTGATCACAGCTCACTGTAGTCTTGACTTCTGGTGCTCAAGTGATCCTCCCACCTCAGCCTCCTAAAGTGCTGGGATTACTGGCATGAGCCACTGTGCACCATCTGGCTCCTCCCATTTTAACTTATATGGTTTCATTTCTTACATTTAATACCTGGTTTACTTGGAGTGCTTTTTATCCTGATGCATAGTATGAGGTTTGGATCTGTTTGTCTTCATGGCCCAATACCATTTATTAAAAACTCATCTTTAGCACCTTGATTTGATATGCTGCCTTCATCACACAGTAAGTCCTGGGTTCATTTTGGATGTATTAATATTTCTGGATGTGTTCTGTCTGTCCATTCATGCGCCGATACCACACTGGCTTAGTTGCTGATGTGCATAGTGTTTTACATTCTAGTACAACTGTTTCCTTTTTGTTCTTCTTTTTCTGAGTTTTCCAGACCTAATCTTGTTTATTTATCTTTTCATATCAACTTCAGAGTCAGCTGTGTGATTCCAGAAAAAAATGATCTCTTGCTACTTTAATTTGGATCATAATACTTTATTTATTTATTTATTTATTTATTTATTTATTTATTTATTTATTTATTTATGACAGAGTCTCACTGTGTCGCCCATACTGGAGTGCAGTGGTGCGATCTTGGCTCACTGCAACCTCCGCCTCCCAGGTTCCAGCAATTCTCCTGCCTCTGCCTCCTGAGTAGCTGGGATTACAGGTACCCGCCACCATACCTGGCTAATTTTTTATATTTTTAGTAGAGATAGGATTTTGCCCTGTTGGTGGCTGATCGCAAACTCCTGAACTCAGGTGATCCACCTGCCTCGGCCTCCCGAAGTGCTGGGATTACATGCGTGAGCCACCATTTCCGGCCTCGTAAAACATTTTAAAATTAGTTGTGGAAGAATTTGCATCTTCATGATGTTGAATCTCTCTAACCAAAAACATGGTATATCTTTTTATTCAAGTTAACTTTTGTGACTTCAAAAACTTTTAAATTTCCTCATGGAGCTTTGCATATTTCTTGTTAAATTTGTTCCTGAGTGCTTTATCTGTTTTATTTTCTAGTTCAGGGATCATCAGCAAACTACAGCCTGTGGGACCACTGCCTGTTTTCTTATGGCCTGTGAAGTAAGAATAGTTTTTATATTTTAATGATTGGAAAAAACACAAAGAAAAGTAGTATTTTGTGACTTGTGTAAAAATTACTTGGAATTCAAATGTCAGTATCCATGATGAAGTTTTACTGGAACGTAGCCACTGCCATTTCTTTACGTATTGTCTGTGGCTCCTTTCTTGCTAGGACTGCAGTAGAGCTGCGACCATGTGGCCCACAGAGCCTGGAATATTTATTATTTGTGCCTTGATGGAAAAGTTTACTGACCTCTGTTCTTTTTTCTTTTTTATTTTTTGAGATGGCATCTCTGTTGCCCAGGCTGGAGTGCAGTGGTATGATCTCAGCTCACTACAACCTCCCACTCCTGGACTCAAGCAATCCTGCCACCTCAGCCTCACGAGTAGCTGAGACTACAGGCATGCACCACCACTCCTGGCTAATTTTTTATATTTTTAGTAGAGATGGGGTTTCGCCATGTTGCCCAGACTGGTCTTGAACTCCTAGGCTCAAGGGATCTGCCCACCTCGGCCTTCCAAAGTGCTGGGATTACAGGTGTGAGCCACCGCACCCGGTGACCTCTGTTCTAAGTAGTGGATTTGTTTGTTTGTTTGATTATTTTTGAGACGGAGTCTTGCTCTGTCACCAAGCTGGAGTGTAGTGGCGCGATTTCGGCTCACTGCAACCTCTGACTCCCTGGTTCAAGCGATTCTTCTGCCTCAGCCTCCTGAGTAGCTGGGATTACAGGCGCCACCATGCCCAGATAATTTTTGTATTTTTAGTAAAGATGGGGTTTCACCATGTTGGCCAGGATGGTCTCGATCTCCTGACCTCGTGATCTGCCCACCTCAGCCTCCCAAAGTGCTGGGATTACAGGTGTGTGTGAGCCAGTGTGCCTGACCAGTAGTGGTTATTTTCATGTGTATTTCCGTCCTCCAAATTTACAGTCACTCATAACTAGCTTGGTCCTACTTTTGAAAATTCAGAACGCAACTGAAGAGGTTGAGGGAAAATTAGCAGAAAAACTGTCTTGAAGGGCTGCTGCCAATAATCAAAATGCCTAGAATGTTCTCAGTGGAGAAATAACCTTTAAACCATTAATGACCAATTTCAAGTCTGCTCTTCCAGGCAAAATTTGCATTCTTCCTTTAAATGGGCCGGTTTGTCTGTGAGAGGTACAAAATCTTCTTTGGGAAAAGGAGGGAAAGAGTCAAACTCCCTAGCCATGTGACACTCACTGAGGAGAAATGACATTACGTCCCCTTGAAGCTACCATCCCACCACAGTTTGTGTCGGAGTTTGCATGAACCAGATGCCTTGAGTGGCAGCTGTCTGCACTTTCTGTCAAGACCTGCCCAACCTGCTGCTGCCGTTGTGAAGGCCTTCCTGTGGCTGACAGCTGCTCCTCACGTATCCTTCCTGAAGACATTTCCCCTCCCCTCCACCTTCTACTTCTCATTCCATTTATGACAACTCATCTAAGTTTGTAATAAGACTTACTTCCACGGTCGTTTGTATGAAGAGATCCGAAAAACATTATTTTTCCAGTTTCTGTCTCCGAAAGCCGTAGGCCCTTCAGTGTTGTGGTTTACGCATCTCGCTGTGAATGCAGGACCACCATCCCTCAGCACCACTCCCAGGACTGACGTTTCACTGAAAACGTCTCAGAAACTAGGAGCAATGGGGGGAATTTTGCACAAAACGAAAGTGATGGTGCAGTGTATGGGCAGATCGTTATTCTGAGATTGTCTTTCCTCTTTTGGCAGGTTTTTTTTTTTTTTTTTTTTTTTGAAACAAGGTCCCTCTGTTGCCCAGGATGGAATGCAGTGGTGCAATCTCGGCTCACTGCAACCTCCTTCTCCCAGGTTCAAGTGATCCTCCCACCTCAGCCTCCTGAGTAGCTGGGACCACAGGCACCCACCACCACATCTGGCAAATTTTTTTTTTCTTTTTTTTTTTTTTTTTAGTAGAGACGGGGTTTTGCTATGTTGGCCAGGCTGATCTTGAACTCCTAGCCTCAAGAGATCTGCCTGCCTCGGCCTCCCGAAGTGTTGTGATTATGGCATCTCTGCCCGGCCTTGGCAGTGTTCAAATACCCTTTCTTTTAGGAAGTGATAGGGGTAGTAGGTGAGAGTTGCTGGTAGTGTTTTAGTGTCTTGAATTGGCAAAAGATAACACTGAAAACTCTTGGCTGGGTCCCTTGATAGACCATTGATTGATATCCCAAAGCCATTATCTGTCACTCTCCGCTTGCCTAGTTTTTTTTTTCTTTCTAACAGGGTGTCACTCTGTTGCCCAGGCTGGAGTGCAGCAGTGCCATCTTGACTCACTGCAACCTCCGCCTCCTGGGCTCAAATGATTCTCCCACCCCAGCCTCCTGGTAGCTGGGATTACAGACGTGTACCACCAAGCCCAGCTAATTTTTGTATTTTTGGTAAAGATGCAATTTGGTCATGTTGGCCAGGCTGGTCTCAAGTGATCCGCCTGCCTCAGCCTCCCAAAGTGCTGGGATTACAGGCGTGAGACACCACGCCCGGCCACTGCCTACCTTTTCTATAAAGGGTGGTAAGGCGACCTGCTGGCCACCCAGCTTCCTAGGCATAGCCCTGTGATACAGCCCTGGCCGACGAGATGAAAGCAGAAGTCTGAAGTGATGTTTTCTTCCTGGGAGAAAGTTCTGCATCCTTGGCCCCTTTACCTTTTGCCTTCCCTGACCTCTTCTTCCTACACAGAACTCAGACTGCGGTCTTGAAGTGAACAGCTGCTTCCTATCTCTGAGGAGACTAGCCTGAGGATGAAAGCATGAAGCTTGGCAGAGCAAAACCCAGAAATGTGCTCGTTAATAAAACCTGGGATTCTTTGGTAGTTCATAAGCGTGATGATTGGGTTTTCACGCTCATGTGTGAGATGTGCCTTCCTCAGACTTTGTTACGATGTTGGCACATTTCCCATTTGATGTGAAAAAAGAAAAAACGAAAAAGGTATCCCAAATCAAACTGGTATATAAAGTGATGAATTTGCCAAAAAGCCTTTTACACGTGTTGGACACAGACTCTTGTGGTTGATACAAACCCAAAATTAGAATTTGTGGATGTGATTCTTCCAGTGAATGCTTGAGGTATCTGTTTGTTATCTTTTTAAAACTCCTGTATTAATTATGGAGAAAGACTTTTTGAAAGCAGGCGGTGGGTCTTGAGTCTCCCTCTTCCACCCTCTCCTTGACTAAACATGGCACTCCAAGCAGGCTTGGATGTTCTGTGCAACTCATATCATTCAATTGCTTTGTGAAGTATTTTGAAGATGCTTTTATTTCAGCCATTGATCTGACATTGATGTCAACAAAGTCTAAAAGCAGGTCCTTGATGACATCTTGGTCCCTATGGTAGCAATGTCTGAGGCAAATGGCAATGATGGAGGTGTTATAATCATTTTCATAAATTTATTTGAGTTAAAAGCTATTGAAAGCTTTGCTGGTATCTTTTGAGGAACTTCAAAGGGGACCCAATTAGTAATCCTTAATAACAGAGACATTTCTTTTAAAATTGACACCAGAGAGTGGGCTTCTCAAGTCACACAGCTGGGGATGTGAAATAAATGGTCATTGGTGTAGCGATTTTGGCATTTTATGCACCAGGTGATTTAGATTTAATTTCCTGGCCTGGCACAGTGGCTTACGCCTGTAATCCCAGCACTTTGGGAGGCCTAGGCAGGCAGATCACTTGAGGCCAGGAGTTCAAGACCAGCCTTGCTAACACGGTGAAATCCCATCTTTAGTAAAAATACAAAAATTAGCCAGGTGTGGTGGCAGGCACCTGTAATCCCAGCTACTTGGGAGGATGAGGCAGGAGAATCGCTTGAACCAGGAGCCAGAGGCTGCAGTGAGCCGAGATGGCACCACTGCACTCCAGCCTGGGTGACAGAGTGAGACCCTGTCTAAAAAAAAAAAAAAAAAAGATTTAATTTCCTAATCCTTACACTCCCAGAAATAGGGACTGTTATTATCTCCATTGTAGAGGTAAACAAGATGGTGGCTCAGAGAGGGAAATTAATCTCTCTGACACACAGGCAGTTAACTGTTGAGTAGAATTATCTGATGCCAAAGTCTCAGTCTCCCCTTTGCCTCAACCCTGTGTAAGGGCAATTTACAAAGTTTATGTGCAACTTATTTATTTAACTTTCTGTTTTTCATCCCCTTTTATGTGAAAACTGTCAATATGTGCATATTGAAAGCCTTTTTCTTCCTTTTTTTTTGAAGCAGAGTCTCACTCTGTCACCCAGGCTGGAGTGCAATGGTGCCATATCGGTTCACTGCAACCTCTGTCTCCTGGGTTCAAGCGATTCTCCTGCCTTAGCCTCCCAAGTAACTGGGATTACAGGTGCGTGCCACCACACCTGGCTAATTTTTTGTATTTTTAGTAGAGATGGTTTTCACCATGTTGGCCAGACTGTTCTCGAACTCCTGACCTCAGGTGATCCATCTGCCTTGGCCTCCCAAAGTGCTGGGATTACAGGTGTGAGCCACTGTACCTGGTCTTGAAAGCCGTTTTCTATTCTCCTCTCCCCACTTCTTCCAAATCCATCAAACCATCTTATTTACAGTATTACTGAAGGTCAAGTGTTCTCTTTGAGGTTGTCATTGATAAAATGGATGGAGAGCCTGGGGGTGGTGGCTCACGCCTGTAATCTCAGCACTTTGGGAGGCCGAGGTGACCGGATCACTTGAGACCAGGAGTTCTAGACCATCCTGGGCAACCTGGCGAAACCCCATCTCTACTAAAAAGACAAAAATTAGCTGGACGTGGTGGCACATGCCTGTAGTCCCAGCTACTTGGGATGCTGAGGCAGGAGAATCACTTGAACCTGGGAGGTGGAGGTTGCAGTGAGCCGAGATCGTGCCATTGCACTCCAGCCTGGGCAACAGAATGAGACTCTGTCTCAAAAAATAAATAAAATAAAATAAAATAAAAAAATAAATTGACAGCGGTGAATGACTTTTTTTTCAAGGTCTGACTTGCTCACACTCAAGTTCTCTGCCCTCTGCCTCACACCTGTGCATATTGCTCTACCATGATGCCTACCTAAGTTTAATTTTGGGCTTACTCTGATGCAAAATCGTTGTCCCAGAAGGGCCACTGTTACAGAGCATGTCAGAGTCAAGATGTCTTTGGGTTCTCTGATTTCATTTCACATCAAGTGAAAAGGTCCTGTAATATAGCAAACAATACACTGCTTCAGGTGAATTGCAGATGACTTACACAGGCTTTGATCAGATGAAGTAGATTGAACCACTATGTGAGTCAGTGAGTCTGTGGAAGAAATGTAATGTTGTAAGCCACAAGAGTGCAAGAAAATATTTGGAAAATAATGTTTTATTAGTTAAATTTGCCTATAATGTAATACCTTTCCAGGATCTTGTGCATTTGTTGCACTGGAATACAGTATTGCCCAATTGTGGTAGGCATCAGATAATTCACTCACATTATTTAAGTAGATTCTATTTTTTTTTTTTTTTTCCTTTTGAGATGGTGTCTCGCTCTGTCACCCAGGCTGGAGTACAGTGGCGCTATCTCGGATCACTGCAACCTCTGCCTCCCGGGTTCAAGGGATTCTCCTGCCTCAGTCTCCCGAGTAGCTGGGATTATAGGTGTGCACCACCATGCCCAGCTAATGTTGTATTTTTAGTAGAGATAGGGTTTCACCATTTTGGCCAGGTTGGTCTCGAACTCCTGACCTCAAATGACCCACCCACCTCGGCCTCCTAAAGTGCTGGGATTACAGATATGGGCTACCGTGCCCAGCCTAGATTTTAAATGTTTAATAGCAGGGAGAATATTTTCTATTTGCTTTGCTACCTTTGGTATGTTATATTGAATAGGTGGGTAAAATGTAGGTACTAAGTACACTTCTGGTTTAGTAGAAGAATGAAGTATTTTTAAACTTTGTTCTGAATTCAAGGGAAACTATGACAATAGATTGGCGAAGTAGATAGACTGCTAGAATCCATGAGGCAGTAAAGTGTCACAGTTAGGAGCACAAACTGCAAGGCTTTATCTGTACCACCGCCGTTCAGTAGAATTCTCCATGATGATGCAAATGTTTTATATCTGTACTGTACAATAGAAGCCACAGGCATCATTTGGCTGTTGACCTCTTGAACCTGTGACTAGTGCAACTGAAGAACTGAATTTGTAATTTTATTTATTAATTTATTTGAGATGGAGTTCCGATCTTGTTGCCCAGGCTGGAGTGCAATGGCGCAATCTCAGCTCACTGCAGCCTCCGCCTCCCAGGTTCAAGTGATCCTCCTGCCTCAGCCTCCCAAGTAGCTGGGATTACAGGCATACGCCACCAAGCCCAACTAATTTTTTGTATTTAGTAGAGACAGGGTTTCACCAGGTTGATCAGGCTGGTCTTGAACTCCTGACCTCAGGCGATCCACCTGCCTTGGCATCCCAAAGTGCTGTGATTACAGGGGTGAGCAACCCTGCCTGGCCTAATTTTATTTAATTTTAATTAATTTAAAATTTAAATATGTGCACATGTGACTAGTGACTCCCATATTGGGCTGTGCTGAACATGGAGTGTAATAGCAGAACACAGACACGGTATACACAGCCAGGTTTGCATCCCAATCCTGTCATTTTGCGAATTTTTTTTTTTTTTTTTACTTCAATAAAGGACATTTTCCTGACATTACAGGAGTTTCAGATTTCTTACATTTTTGCTCACAACTGTTGATCCATATGCTTTTACTCAACCCTGATAAAAATAACTTAGAACAAAGTATATCTGAGTAAATGTGCTTTTACAGTTTCTACGAACTGGAAGATATTCACAGCTTATTATTAATTATTATTATTTGTTAATGTTGTACCAGTATTTGATTTTCTCAGCCTGCTCCCCAAAGGGTGTGTTACCACTGGGCGGTAGATCTTGGAATGAAGAAAGAGATTAAGAATAAAAGTCCCAGAGTTTTGTACTGTCCCCATCAGGTCTCTCAATTTTCCACCCACTTTGCATAGAGCAGAAGTGCGGCCTCATGGTGCCCTCCTGTGGCCATACGTTTAGTTGCAAGATGATGGTAGAGTTTTTCTTTTTTTTTTTTAAAAAAAAAGGAGAGAAAGAAAAAGAAGGAAAAAAGGTCCTGCATATGTTTTTAGTCAGCAACACGTTTTGAGACGTGACAGTTCTGTCAAAACAATATAATTCAACAAACTTCAAAGTAACCACAACAGAAGATATGTAGACACAATTTGGAGCGCTGTCTCAGAGCCTTACCGTGAAATGTGCCACAAACATTTTGAGGGACGAACAATGACATCTGCAAGGGAAGCAGGGTAAGTCACACTCAGGTGTGTGAGAATCAGAACAGAGACCCAGAAGAAAATCAGCTTAGACATGGAGGCAGAGCATTAAAGAAAAGGCAAAAGAAAGAAAATGGAAATTTATGGTGCTGGAAGCTGTTAGCTGCCCATGTTTGAAGAAGGCAAGCTCTGCAATGCCTTCACTTGTATTCATCTAGGCAGGTGTGAACCAGACAATGTCCCTGTCTTCAGGGAGCTTACATTTTAGAGGAAGGGGAGATAGAAAATCAACACACAAGGAATTGAACAAACAAGATACTTTCAGAAAGCAAAATGCACCGTGGAGAAAATCAAACAATGTCCTGAGATGGCGATAGATAGAAATTAAGAGCCATGAGGAGGAAGAGGAGAGGGAGAGAAAAGAGAGAAGGTCTCAATGAAAGAAGTGGTTCAATTATGGCTACATTAAAAGAAATTATTTCTAACATTTATTTATTTATTTATTTTGAGACAGAATTGCTCTCTGTTGCTCAGGCTGGAGTGCAGTGGTGCATTCTCAGAACCTGAAACCTCTGCCTCCTGGATTCGAGTGATTCTCTTGCCTCACCCTCCAGAGCAGCTGGGACTACAGGTGTGTGCAACTACTTCTAGCTA